GCTTGTTGTTCCCTTGTCCCTAGGTTTGTTATCCCCTCTTCTTCCCTTCCCCCCTCCTCCCCCTCTCCCATGTCCCCCCGGAACTGTAAAATACAAAAAAAAAAACAAACCCGTAAAAATGCAGAGAAAAATCACATCAGTTACATATGTATAAATTTTTATATTTTCCCCTCTGGGTAATTTCTTGGTATAATTCCATGTGTAGAATATACCACAGCAGTCTTCAACATCTGGAGTTTTCAGTTTTGAATGCTGGCGAATCTTCAGACATACACGTAGTACATCTGTGCCTGTTCCATGAAGTTTTTGTGGTCTGTGCCATGGACTCTGTCTGCTATGGTCATTGTCCTAGCTGGAGCTGTGGACTGCACCCTGATCTGGGGTGTTGACTACCATGGTCTGTGGCAGGGACTCTGCCGTGTGTGTGTGTTTGTACACGTGTAGGTGGAGCAACCAGCACTAAGATGGGAGTCACTTTCTTGCCACTCCTCACTGCTGTATTCCTGTTTGTCTTCTCATTTTTAGTGTTATCCCTCGTTCCATATCCCTGTCTGTATCTGGCTTGAATGTCTGGCTGTGTACTACTACAACCATATTGAGTGATCTTCAGCAGTTTTACATTCATGTAATATTAATGATATTTTTCAACAATTCCACGTTCTGTTGGGTCACCTTTTTTTGGAGTAGTCCCAAAGATGGATTTCTGGCTATTGCTTGGCCAGATAGTTAGTTGCCTTCCAAGTTTTGTGTCATAAATCGAGTACTTCAAGCATTGCATAAGGGAAACATTTCGATTGGTATTCTCCATATTCCCAGAACTTGGTTTTTGGCAAATTCCTTTAGTGCAGCTGGGAATTCTTCCTTCAATGTGTTGGTTCTTGGTCCTGTGCAACCCCTTGAAATGACTGAATGTCAACCATTTCTTTTTGATCCTCATCATTCAGTATTTTCAATGTTGCAGTTCCAGATTTGATATTTTTTCTTCTTCAGCTCCTTTAGCTGAGCATGTTTTTTTTTCCTCTTGGTTTCTAACTCCCAGGTTTTCACACATTTCATTATCATGCTTAACTTTGTCTTCTTGACCCTCCCCTTGAAGTTTTCTGTTGAGCTCTTTTACTTCATTATTCCTGCCGTTTGCTTTATCGCCTCTGTTCAAGAGCAAGTCTGAGAGTCTCTTTCAAGATCCACTGGGCTTTTCCTTAATTTCTACCTTTTCGATGACCATTAGCTTTCATCACATTGTTTTTTTGGTGTCACCCCACGATTCATCGGGTGTTCTGTCATTAGTTCTGTCATTAGTGTCAGATATGTTCTTGAGATGCTCTCTGAAATAAGGATGTCGTTTTGGCTCCCGTGGGTTTATTACTTTTCTTTAGATCCACTTGCGTTTGCACATGCACAGTGAGCGGTCTGTCTGTTCCATAGCTGGTCATTGTCCTTGGTTTAGGTGATACTGAGTTTCTCCACGGTTTCTTTCCACATGTCATCAATTTGATTTCTGCGTGTTCCACTGGAGAAGTTCACATGTATAATTGTCTCTGTGGTTAGAAGATTATATGTGTGATGTGTAAGTTATTGGCCCTGCCAAAGTAGATCATGCAATATCCATCTTTGTTTCTGTCACCAAGGCCATATTCGCCAGCTACTGACCCTTCCTCTCCCCCTAATGATTGATACATCTTGATTGCATGATTAATTTCAGACTGAAGAATTCAGTAGAAGTCTTCAATATATTTATTACTTGGATGGTGCGTTAATCTGATCATCAACTAGCTAGTGTCCATTGTAGGCCTGTAGCTATTACCATATCACAGACAGTATTGTATATCAAGATAGATCTTGACGTGTTCTTGCATTGCCATTACTCTTGAACTTACATTGCCGACATAGGAAACCATTTGATCGCCGATTCACAATGGCCAGTACTAGTTCATTTGAGCTTGTTGGGTCACAGACTCTTTGCCAGCCTCAGGAACTCCTAAGCTTATCTAGAGGTAAGAGTCAGGTTGTGTTCAACGTAAACCGTAGATCCAGGTCTCCACTGGCCTGCTGACTGAGAACCATGGGGGAGAGACATGAGTATGAATCTATTAGCGTGTCAGGATTTGTCTACACCAAGCAACATTGGCCCATGCTGGGAGCCAAGCCTCACAATGACCATTACCCACTGCAGCTTCTGTTATCACATACTTTTCGGAGAACAGTGAGCCAGTGTCCCATGGAACACTGCTAGTCCCTAGCTGCGGGCCATGTTGACAAAGTAGGTGGGCAGCTGTCCAGACCCTCAGGACATCAAGGAGTCTCCTTTGGACGCAAGTGCCTTCAGCTTTAAGAACAGTCAGCCCAGGAAAGCAGAGATCCAGAGAGCCTCACATTGGGCCCGCCTCCCACCCAGACTCTGGCCCCTCCCCCCCACCTGCACTCCGCCCATGACCACCCGGCGCCTTTGCTTCGCTTCCTGGAAGCCTACTGTTTTGACCTGGGGGACCGAGGTGAGTGACTTCCCACCTTTTCTGTTCACAAAACCACCTGCCCTAGTCCTAGTCCTCATCACTCCTGGGGGGCCACACGGTCCTGGGGTGTATACAGAATTTTAAATTATGGCCCCACGGCCCCCATGCCCATGGCGGGTCCAGACTGCCTCCCCCGCACCTCCCCGGCCTAACC